ATATCATTTTTTCCACCTCCATAATCTCTCCATATTTTTGGTCACTTTTTCATTTGCAGAAAAAAGGTGTTTTCGTATAGGTGTTTCCATATTTTTTTTCACTCGTGTTTTGTGTATTGACTTATTGACTTTGTGTACAGTGTTGACACCGTTTGTTTCTTGTGGTGCGTGTTTGGTGCTTTCAGTGCTGAGAGGCACTAAAAGAAGATCTGCATATTGAAATGCTGATATTATTGCCTCCATTGAGAGTCACATTTTATTGAAACTAACTAGCTATAAATGTCTGAGTAGGAATGAACAATTTAATCAGCTAATCAGTGGACCTAATTTGATTAATTGCAGATTAAAAAGATGAAATTACATTTGGCCTCTGAAAGGATGCTGAGCACTGATAGCATTGTGGTAGACAAGCTTAGCACATCTCTTGATTGAGGAAATGCATTTTATCTAGTTTTCATTTAACAGACAAAATATATTTATTATTTAGTCATACAAAGGTTTGTCAGTTCTTACATACTATGCGATACTTTAATTGATGAACGAGTCAGTTAATTTGCTCAGAGGCAATAAAATTAATTGATTTAAAAACCCTTTAATTAGTCGACATTGCAGTGCCTGACATTTTTAAAAGCTCGTACTAATTGAGAGAAATATTAATTTTTTCGTCTTCCAAGCATTAACAGCACTCCTATTTCCTCTTCAGGAAATGACTGAATTGTGTAACCCTTCTTCAGAATGCAATGTTACTACCCAATAGTAAGAAAGAACACAGGCTTGTTGTATTCCTCTTCTTCTGACTGATTGATGTTGCAGCTGACTATGTTATGCTCGGACATACCTGGGTGCTCAGTGCAAGACCTGGTTCAATGTGAGCAAAGAATGATGGGGTTGGAACTAGTGGTGTGTGGTGAAATTTTCTGTAGGGGAACAGTTAGGTCAGAGGCACCAGATTGTGAGCATGATTGCGGGCGGTGGTGGTGCAGGGAACATCCTGATGTCATGTGTGCGAGCATCGCACCTACCTCCCTAAGCCAAGCAGAAAATTCCTGGACTTTGGAAAGGAGGCATCAGGCCTCTGACAGGATGCTGGAGCCCTGCTTCCTCCTTCCCAAATCCAGGCAGGCTTTAGAAAGGTGGTGGGAGGGCTCTTGGACCCTGTAGAACATCAATCCTCCCTCCCTAAGCTGGGCAGAAGCTTCCCAGGCTTTGGGAAGGAGGCGCTGGGCTTTAATACTTTAATACTCTAATTTACCAGAAATATTTAAGGGACTAGCCTAGCCCCTCAGTCCATGGACTGCACGCCACTGGTTGGAACTGCCTGTGTAAATCAATTTAAAACAGCTCCCTCCTCCATCCCTACCTCAATTCCCCAGCTTTCACACATCATGAGAACAGTCTTAATGCTATGGAAGCTATGGCCATTTTTGTGGTTTCTGTTTATCAAAACCACTGTTTACCGAAATCTCAAGGCAGATGCAGAGGCACCCTGAGCCCTCTTCCATCGCTGCAATGCTGTAACACTGTCGTCATGTGGGAGGAGAGGGGGTTAAAGGGATATGTGCACTACCTCTGCTTTACCTCATCATCAGTCTCAGTGCCCTCCACGAATTTGGGGGCAATTGTGTGAAGCTGGAGTGTCCTGCACTAATAAAGGATCCCCACACATTTTTTGACCCTGATTTTTAAGGGTTCTGATTATGGGCATATAGCCACCCACCAACCAATGGAGGGTGAGGATAATGATGGAGGGATGGTGCAGTTAATGTGCTCACCTTGCAGGGCCACCCAATGATCAGTTTCATGGCACCTGAATGTGCCTTCAGTCATCATTGACTGCAGAACTGAGGGGGAATAAGCATGGTTGCCAAGGTGACCATCTGGCACCTGAACAATATTATGTTACCTTTAGTGAGCCCTTCAGAATCATCCTTACTCTTTGGTATGCACCTATAGTTTTCTTTTGCTGTGATTTGGCACCTAACTGAATTTTGCCCTGTACTTAAACATTTGAAGAAGCTGTCAGATGGCTAATCATTGGGGTTAACTCTGCACCTTATTGTGATCTTCTCATATGGGAACACATCGTTGGGAGGATTTTTACATGCTGAACAAACATGTACACTCTCTCTCTCTCTCTCTCTCTCTCTCTCACACACACACACACACACACACACACACAGACTCACACATGCTGGAAGTCATAAAAATAAAGGGAAATTTGCCATACAAATGGAAACAAAGCATTGCTCCAGGGCAAAACTCTAAAAGATCAGTACTGAATGGGGGAAGACCAGTGAGGAGAGAGACTTTGAGGGAAAAGATGAGCAGAAGGCTGAACTTCACCATTTTTTCTCCTTGAGAGAAGAAAGTTGCTGCTCTGGCACATGGGCTCTTTGAATGAGAAGAGAAGTCTAGGGGACAGAACATAGGCTAGGTCTAGATCAGCTTCTCCTGTTTCCAGAAAATATTCTCCCCTGCAAAACTGAGGAGAGGCAGGAGGAGATATTTCTCCAAAATTATGAGGGGATGTGGGAAACTCTGAAGAGAGTCTTCTTCCACTCTCATTGGCCGCACTCCCCAGCATGTTTAGAGAACAACACACAGTGATGTGATATGATCTTGATCCAGGGCTTTTTTTCAGCCGGAACTTGCCAGAACTCAGTTCCGACAACCTCAGATGGGCACCATTGCCATTACAGGAGCACAAGGGAGGTGTCCGTGGTGAGTTCTGGCACCTCTTTTTCTAGAGAAATAACACTGCCTTGATCCGTACCTTTTCCAGGAATGTGCCACTATGAGAATCCTGATTTTTCAGAGTTGCAAAACATGCAGGGGTTTCTCCGCAAGCACAGAAGGCTCCCCACTTCACAAGTTCACCCTCCAACTTAAGGAGGGTGACTGGAATAACAATGGAGATGAATCTAACACACTCGTTCCCCCTGCCCCTCATGTGTGTTTAGTTAACTCAAATGAAGAATGACGAAGATGGCTTCTGCATACAGAAATCCACTCACAATCTTTTCTTTGGTCTAAAGAAAATGGTTCATTACATGCACAAAATTTCCTGTATCACTTGAGTCAACAAGTACGGAAACTGGATGATCGAATTCTCTCATTTTAAAACTCAGCGGATGTACAAAGAAAGAAAACACAAATAAGATTTTAGGGTTTTTTTAAATAAATAATAAAAAAGAAGACCTTACCCTTCTCTTTAGCATGTTAGTTTTCCCTTGTGTAAGGATTTTCCTTCCAGTGAGAAAAGTTCAAACAAGAAAACCCTACCACTACCTGCAGCCTTACATGGTTCCATCCAAGAACAGTTGCATAAAGGAACATGGGACGTCTGCCTTATACAAAGCCAGATTATTGATCTATCTGTCTTAGTATTGTCTACACTGGCGTCTAGTGGCTTTCCATTGTTTCAGACAGGGGACATTTCCAGTGCTACTGGGAGATGCCTGGGTTTTGAACATGGGACATTCTGCATGCTAAGTAGGTACTGAACTGTTTAGCTATGGTCCTTTACCGTTCTAGCTATCAGCCCAAAATTTCTTATGTATATTTAACACAGAACTTGTGCCCATTTGTTGGTCTTGGGGATGAAGGTTAAAGGTGCCCGGCTGCGTAGTTTCTGGTTTTCTTTCTTTCTTTCTCCTCCAGTGATTGCCGTAAGTATTTTGAAAATGCTTTCTGAGAACCAGCACTACCACTTTGCCTGCAGTTAAACTCTTGTGCCTTTTTTAATAGGTGACATGTATGCAGTGGTTGCACGGAGACCATACAATGCTGGAAATGATTGAGAAAAAACGTTGCCTGTGCAAAGAAATCAAGGCACGGCAGAAATCCGAGAAAGGACTTTGCAAACAGGACAGCATGCCTATCTTGCCGAGTTGGAAGAAGAACACAGGGTCCAAGAAGTACAGCCCCCCTCCGTATTCCAAGCAACAAACCGTTTTCTGGGACACTGCAATATGATAGGAGCATGAGGGGCTATCTTCCGCACATTGCTAAAACATGCACTGTCAGCCTATCTTCCTAATAAGGTGGTGGCTGGGACTTAATTTTCAGGTGAAGAACTACCTAGGGATAAAGCTTGCTAAAGCGGTACCCACCTGTCAATCAAAAGAAAAATCTATGTCTCCCACTAAATGAAGGCATGCACATTTTTGAGGATTCTTTGGGATCCAGAAAAAAATAGAAAGATGTAAATATTTTGCCAATCTCTTAAAAAAAACTGAGACAATACACTATTTAAAATATAATGCAAACATGTATGAAGAATTTTACTCATAAACTGTTCTAACTGTTTTCTATGTGTTACCTTTATGTTTGGGGGTTTGTTTTTGTTCTTTTTAAAAAACCAATTTAAAATTATCCCATAAGCCTACATTCTCTATCTTGACATAAGCATGTGGTTGTACATTTTTTTATTTAACAGTAACAAACCGGTGCTAGGGATGTAGAAGTGAAATTAAATAATAATTTTAAAAGAACTCATTTGATTTCATTTTCTGTATACCATTTGGCAGGAAGGTGGATGGAACTGCAAGCAAGGCAGGTAAAACAGTATTCATTCAGATGTGAGAATTATGTTAACAATGTGTCATTAAAAAAAAAAAAGTATATTTGCTATTGTAAAATTGTATTAACGCATTAGAAACAAGCGTGACTGCTTCGCAACCTCCTGCATCAGCCTTGCTAACGTGGCTGGAGACTGTCTAATGGCTTGTACCATAGGGCCCTGATCCAAAGACCTGTCTGTGCAGAAGCTGTGCAAGGATTTTTCCTGCCAAACAGCATTCAGTCCATTAGAGGGAATTGGTAGGGAGAGGGTGTCTAAAATCGGCCCTGTACTCGAACCCCATCCTTCCAGACAGGTTGTCAGAGCTAACAACTCAGCTTAGTGAGATGTTTGTATAGCAGATGCAGGAATATTGCATGTTGATATGGTGGGCAGGGGTTAAGCCTTGACCACATAACTTTGAGTAAACAATAATGCAAGGAGGATCTGCACAAAGAAATAGACTACTTCACATGGATCAACCATCTGGATCAGGGTGAACGTCTTGAGCAAAACGGATCAAGTAGTTTAGCTAGAAATGTGAGTTAGCTTTGCTGCAGAAAGGTTAACTTCAACTGAGAACTCTTCCTTCTTCTATTCAGATGATTTTTGGAGACCAGGGTTCACTGTGATTAAGGAATTGTATACATCACATGATTCAGTTATCCTCTATTCATTATCAGGTTGAAATGGTGATAATGCAGCTATAATTCCCATCCTCATTTGTCTTGGGTCCCTGAAAGTAAAGGTAACAAAAAAAAAAGAATATCCGTTCACAATGTTCACGTTACTTTTCTAATATATTGTATTTTGTGTCCAGTTATAGAATGAGTTAGTGTGAAATCTCACTAAAGTCAATGAGAAAGGTTGACTTCATCTTGGAAAGTCTGACCCTTTGGATTGGGTCTGTAGAGCACATTTCTCTCAAGTAACCATTGTCGTATTCCTGGTTGATCCTGTAATTGGGTCATAGTCCTCTGTGACATCACACCCATCTTACTAGACTATAATGTCATGACCAAAGAATTATGACCTCTTGGTTTTAGCAGGAGAAAGAGATGGTTTATATGCTGTACATGAGGGTGAGATCTGTGCATTAAAGTATCTTCTAGAAGGCACTGTGTAGGATAAGATTTTTAAAAATCCATATTGCCGTAGAGTTGATGTGATCACATATATTTTATATATTTAAATTTTTATCGATGCTTCTAAAAGTTTGGCAGCATGAAAGGGTTCCTCTTTTAACAATCATTTTAAGAATATTATATTCTCTGAGAAGAAGAAGAAAAATGTGTCATTTGAATTTATTGTCATATTGGCTTTTTCTTTTTTCTTTTAAAATGATATTGACAGCAGTGCCACAAGTGCAACTGCTGATCAATAAGACCAAAAATGAAACAAAATTTTAGTAGGTTATTTTGTAATCTATATTGATAAAATTGATTATTACTTTACCAATAGTAGTTTCTTTCCAGACAAATAAAAAAAATAAAGTTTTTAAATATTTTATAACTAATGTATATTTTGATGTCCAAATTGACAATTTCTGTATCAGATTTAAAAGAAGAAGTAGTGTGGGGGTCTATAAGTGTATATAGTAGTTACTCAAGCATCATTATTTATGTTTTATCCACAACATAAGGACACACACACACAAACGCATGCATGCATGTTGCCACTCTGTGCATATGCAGCAGCAAAAATGGGTATGTGATTCAGTTGCTAGTTTACACCTGCTCACATGCCCCAAGTCAGAAAACAAAGTACAAGCATGTTGGAAGCAATCCAAGAAAATGTTATATGCAAAAGAAAGTACCGTTACATTCTTAGCAAAGAAAATGTTGAAATAGATACTTGGAAATACTGCAAAATTGTCACTTCTTTTGAAGTGTGCAGGACTTCATTTCTTAAGATAACCAGGAGCGGTCCAAGAATTTGTCCTCCTAAGAGTCATCCTGCTTCTCCTTCTGCACAGAGATGGCATTTAGCTTTGAAATTACTTGGACAGGGATCGAGACTCCTGAAGGGCCTATAACCCTCACCTCCAAGGCACAGCAAGCACTATGACTCTTGAATTCTTTCTGACTTGGATTTGAATTGCAGTTGGAGAAGAACTTGTCTCCAATTCACTAATCCTTCCATCCATCCACTAGCCCGCCCATCAAGCACCTCACTTGGTTAGAAACATAGGGATCTACCTTACGACAAGTCAGACCACTGATCCATCTGGACCAGTGCTGTCCACATTAATTGGCAGCAGTTCTCCAGGGTTTCAGATGGGGGACATTTTCAGCCATACCTGGAGGTGCTAGCACCTGGGACCTTCTGCATGCAAAACTCATACTCTACCACTGAGCCACAGCCCTTCCACAACTTGCCACCGAGTCCCTCTGACTCACCTACTTGTTTCCACCTCCTCCCTCCACAAATGCAAGTGTCTCCAGCTTTAATCCTATGCGACACCCACCTTTCGATTTGCTCCAGCGATGGGAGAAAGGCAAGGAGGTCTCCAGAAATCCATTCCCATTTGCTTATCCTGAGGCTGTTTAAGTTCTGGTGGCACAAGGGAGGAATTTTCCTCTTGTTGGGGATCTTTATGCATACTTGGTGCTGATGCTGGCAGAAATGAGGAGACGAGCATGAGGGATGCTGGGAAATGTGCTTTCCCCAGTGTCCCTAATATGTATCAGGAATGCTGAAAAAGGTGTGTTTCAAATGTTCCTGATTTGCTACTATGCCTGCATCAACACCAGGTACTGGGTAGGGGCAATGGGTGGAGAGAGAGTGCTCATTCTCCTTAGCCATAAGAACATGATTGGCCACAAGGGAAATAGATGAATGGGAAATGGTTTTGGAGGTTCATGTGGGTGAAGTTAGGGGAATGACTTGAGCTCCCAATGGAAGATTGATGTAGGCATATGTAACATGGAAAATCCAAATTCCAGTTTGCAGGGATCAGTTGCTTGGCTTGTTGAAGTCAGTCTGAGAAAGGCACTGCATCCCCATGTGCCATTCCGGAAACAATGTGCCATTTTAATGAATGCTGCTCTTAGCAACACAAATCAGCACCCTTGGACATGCCTGTAGACCACCAAGCAAGTCTTAGATTAGTTTTTAAACCTTTCTTCAGCCCTAAAATGTCTAATCACACAAATATAATGTAAAGTGATCGTATCCACAGCTATTTGTAAAAAGATCTCACCAGCCAGGTCCTCTAACTCATGGTAAACTGACCTGTGTGTGGTGTTGTCATTCTGAAGTTATGTTGACTCAGCATGCCGTTTCATACATAGGAGTAACTTGCCTTAGCACATCTGTGATTATATATATATAGTAGAGCTTTGTCTTCCTTCCCCACCCTTAAGGTTCATGAAACGTTATCCCCCCCTATAAAAACATAGGCAGATTTTCTGCTGCTTTTTCGGTGGGGGGTGAGGGAAAGAAATTCTCTGAACATTTTGGGGCATGCTTAGCAACATAGGACACTGCCTTATTCTGGGGTTGCTCCGTAATTACCTGTTTATGGAAGATTCATCTTGATTTGTTTGCAGGGAGATTAGACAACACTGGGTATTTAATGAGCAGTCATTCAGATTTGATTACAGGGTGATTAGATGAGGTTGTATCAAAGCAAGTGCTATCGCACACTTTCCAGGGCATTTCAATTTTTTTCCCCTTTATTGGGCAGGCAGATATTACCCATTTGGACTTTGCAGGCATTCCTGTTCAATGCTCCAAAAATCCCTTGAAGCGTTTGACAGGAAAACATTGGAAAAACACAAATGGTTTGGGGATGAAGCCATCACTCTCCCAAATCACACATCATTCCTGAAAACACAAAAGTGGGTGTTCCTGATATAAGGAGATGGTGCTGCTCACAAAGAAATAGCATGCCTCCACTACTACCAAATCCTATTTAAGCATTTTCTTGATTCTCTCCTATTTCTGTACAGGGAGAATGACGAGGATTAGCATGGGGAGCTCATAAAAAGCTGTGTTTAAATATGCAATCTCTAACATCCAGGTCACACATATATACCCACACACTTATACTGACTGTATATACGAAAATGTTTGGTATGCACTTAACTTTGCTTTAAATTTCTAAAGTTCAACATTCTAGTGTAGCAATTTGTGTCAAGTGCACTGTGATTTCAAGAAAGCACAGTAAGGTCACAGGTCTTGTTAATTCTTGCACTAAAAATGTGTTTACGTATATTAGCAAATGTATGTTTCCTTTATTGCTCCCCTCCTTAATTTATAGCTGATGGTATTAAATAGTATGTTGGGTTTTTTTAAGCGGCCAATGGCCCTACATTTTTAAGCAACAGGGTTTTTAAAGGAAATGAAACCGTAACATGTCCATTCCAATGTAATATGTTTACCGATATTTTAAAACTGAATGTCATATTGCTTTTTCATATTTCATTAGAAATGTCAGGTATGTGCCTGAAATGTGTACGGAGTAGCTAGATGATAACTGTAATCATATATTAGCCATTTCTATATACACAGTATGAATACATATTTATTTCTTTTCATTTTTGTACTTGATTCTTTTTTTAAGTAAACTGTAATTAAATGTACTTTGATACTTCTGAAGTAATAAGATGTTGTTTGAAAATCAGCTTTGTTTCCTTTCGTGCATTGACAATATTTTACAATAACTTAGTGCTTATTTATTTGTGCGCCAGTGTAATTATAATAAAAGCAATAGTTTAAATATTCAGCCTTTTATCTCCAATTAATTATGCCAGGATTCAAGCTGGTTTGTCTGGAAGGAGCAAAATAAGAGGATAAATAAAACCTTGAGCCTTTTACACATATTCAGATGCAATATTTATTTTTGTGGTTCAACAATCCCATTTTCCCAGGGAACTCTGGAAATTGTAGCTGTTTGAGGGGAATAGGGTTCTCCTAACCCCATTTCTCCTAATGCTACTCTCAGTACTCTTAACAAACTACAGTGTATACAGGCTGAAGTGACAGCACTGGATCCATGGTTACCTCCAGGCTACAAACCTGTTCTCTCAGGGGAAGAGCAACTTCATCTAGAACAGTTTGATCACCCAGTTCTCAACCCCATGAACTACATACAAACAATGTCTCCGTCTTGTTAGGATTTAGCTCTAGTTTATTGGTCCTCATCCAACCCATAACTGCATGCAGGCACCAGTCAAGCACCTAGACAGCTCCATCTGGTTTAGTTAGTATAGAGAAGTAGAGTGGGATGTCTTCTACATGTTGATGACACCATGCCCCAGAAGACCACCCCCAAAAGATTCATATCAATATTAAGTATCTGGAGGGCATCAGGTTGAGGAAGGGTGGTGTTTAAAGAGACTGTATTTGTTCTGTTCCCCAAGAGTTTTGTCTTCTGCAGCACAGCACACACTTAATGGTTTAAAATGTAAGTATTCCACAAGGTGAAGATTTGTTTGAGGCCCAAATCTGTCTGGGGAAAACAATAACATACACTTGCCAAGACCAGAGGACTGAAGACCTACATGGGCAACAGGCAGACTGACACTTGTGCCCATTGAGAGAGCAAATACTGTCCCTTCTAATGGCAACTGACTTCAGTGATGTTCATGGAGAATTGCATCTCTCCCCAGTACTTTCTTGTCAGAAGTGCTTTGCCAGATTCCCTGCTGGTGGGTTGCTTTTGCTTACAGGAATGTGGGGCGGTTGAGATAGTAAGTCGTTTAACTTCATGCAAACATACCATCTGATCACTAGGCACTTAGAAAATGCTGTGTAAGACATATAGTTGGCATTTGAGAAGCACAGAGCTCACAAAGTCCTTTGCGTGGAGCTTCCTGAATGCTCAGCAAGCAGCTGATTTCAGCTTAATTTACTACTGTTATTACTATAACTTGCTCTCCAGGGCAAGGTGGTTTGAGCATATAACACCAATCCTGGCCCGACTGGACCAGCTGCCAATTAGTTTCCAGGTCCAATTCAAAGCGCTGGTTTTAACCTCACAGCTTTATACCACAACACCTCAAGGGCCACCTCTCTCCATATGAACTGACTCGGAACCAGCGATCACCATCTGAAGCTGTTCTTCATGTGCATCCTCTATGAAAGTTCTAGATGGTGGCAACACGAGAACAGGCCTTTTCTACAGTGGCTCCCTGTTTGTGGAATGCTCTCCCCAGAGAGGCTGACCTGGCAACATAGGTAATTATATCTCTTTAGGTGCCAGGAAAAACCTTTCCACTATAACCAGGCATTTTGCCTTTAACTATCTGTTGCCTTTTAAAAGTAACCAGGATGTTTTTAAATGTATTTCTTTTTTCCACTTGGTTTTAATGTATCTATGTGTAGTTTTCAGTCTGCCTGTTCATTTTGTTCTGAGTCACTTTGGGCTGCCACAGGAAATATAAAGTGACAAAAAAAAAAATCAATAATGTCTTCATTGCTACTGTTAATAAAGCCAGCGTGGTGTAGTGGTTAAGAGCGGTGGACTCGTAATCTGGTAAACAGGGTTCATGTCTCCGCTCCTCCACATGCAGCTGCTGGGTGACCTTGGGCTAGTCACACTTCTCTGAAGTCTCTCAGCCCCACTCACCTCACAGAGTGTTTGTTGTGGGGGAGGAAGGGAAAGTAGAATGTTAGCTGTTTTGAGACTCCTTAGGGTAGTGATAAAGCGGGATATCAAATCCAAACTCCTCCTCCTCCTCCTCCTCCTCCTCCTCCTCCTCCTCTTCTTCTTCTTCTTCTTCTTCTTCTTCTTCTTCTTCTTCTTCATATTACCTAAACCTTGAGTACTACTGCTATTACTACTCAACATTTGAACCTGCCAATGTGCTAGAACTTTTTCTTTATACACATTCCCCGTGTTTTCCTTTGTATCTGCTGGCCCACTGTACAGCTTTCAATGGCAACAGGTGGACAATGTGAGTTCCTGCCTTGGAAGGTTGATCCCCTCCAAAATTTCGTTCCGCTTCTGTCCTCAAGGTCCTTCTTCCAAAGTGCATTTGTCTTTCAACACTAAACTTTGGGAGAGAGAGAAAAGTGGTGGTGAGGAACCCAGACAGAATGCTGACACAGAACTTTGATTTTGACAGGATGTCTTCTGTCCTCAAACACACCATACCTCAAGTTAAGAGCACTGGATAATGTGAAAGGGAAGAATAATTAATGGTGCATTCACTGTGCCACTAAGCTCTGAAGAACTACCTCTTCAGATTTACCTTAGGCAGAGAATATTATACAAAGGGTTGATTTATCTTTGGATGAGCCTGGGTTGGCTGGCTCAAATTGCCAGAGATAAATCTCGGCTTTAATAAAAGTTCAATAGCAGCCAGTCCCCCATATTTTATCAACAATTCAGAAATATCAGAGGTCTTGGCCTTCGATAATATCTTCTTTCTGCATCATAATTGCCACTTTCCATCCTTTGCCTGCATTATGGACGAACATTATTCAACTTTCCAGGGCAGTATTTTTAAAAACTCTTTAACATGGATCAACACGCAATCACCTTGTTGAACCTTCTTTCCTCAATTCAAAACAAAACCCAAAAGAAAAAATGCACTCCCTTTAATGAAACTAAGCCAATGAAGGAAAATATCTGACTGGAACAAGGATAGGGTACCAGAGCACTCCTGATATAGTTAGGTCTATTTTGATTACAGCTTGGCCCATTCTTGTGTTAGTTTGTGTTTAGGTTTTAATGTCACATAATGCTTGCTCCCCATACCCTTGACCATTTTTCTCTGTCGTTTATAAATAATGCCATTATGGACCAGAAGCATGAATGTTTGTACATTATGATAAATGAGAACCTGGCTGGCTGGGTGGGAACCCAGACAGTGCATTCCTTCCAACAATATTCCTTCCAACATTGCTATACAGTAGTACCTCGGGTTAAGAACTTAATTCTTCCTCAAGGTCCATTCTCAACCTGAAACTGTTCTTAACCTGAAGCACCACTTTAGCTAATGGGGCCTCCCACTGCCGCCGTGCTGCCACCGTGCGATTTCTGTTCTCATTCTGAAGCAATGTTCTTAACCCGAGGTACTATTTCTGGGTTAGCAGAGTCTGTAACCTGAAGCGTATGTAACCTGAAGCATCTGTAACCTGAGGTACCACTGTAGTTGTATGTTGGTGGAAACAAACAGGGTCATCAATATAACTCAACAAAAACAGGTGATGAAAACGATACGAAATGGATCACAAGAAATATTAAAATCCTTCTTGGAGGAAGACAAGATAGGTTTATCTTATCAAGATAGGTTTATCTTCAGAGATTGCAGGGCAGCAGTTGAAGAAGGAGCAAAAAGGGTTTTCTTGTGTGTGTGTTTCTTTGTGGCTGATTGGCTGCTCTCCCTGTGCAAAGGTCAGAGGGGGCAGGGTTTCTGTTGAGGCAGGTGATTAGCTGTGGGAGAAGCTTATCAGAGATTGCAGGGCAGCAGTTGAAGAAGGAGCAAAAAGGGTTTTCTTGTGTGTGTGTTTCTTTGTGGCTGATTAGCTGCCTAGTGGTGCGTGCAGTTTGATCCATCTTGTAGATTTAGGGGAGCTAGTCTCAAACGTTTGTGGGGGGAGACCTAGGTTTTTTGTGGGGGAGTTATTTTTCCTGTCTCCACGCTTTTATGATGGAGGACTGCTGTAGCCACCCCCAACGACACGTTAACAAGATGGAGGGGAGGGAACAGCTGCAGTCGCCTGCGGTTCCTGCGCAATGTTTGCCATCTTGCCAAAGGTTGCAGGCAGCTTTACCTGCAGCAATTGCATGTCGATTGCCCTCTTAAAAGACAAGGTCCAGCAACTGGAGGAACGTGTAGCTACACTACAAAGAATTAGAGAGCTGGAGCTGTTCTTGGAAGCAACAGAGCACACCGTCTCCACCAAGGAGGAGACGGGGACTCCCTGAGAAGGACGCTAGTTCACCAACACAGGAGCCAGATATATGGAGAAACGTGACTCAAAGAAGTAGGAGGCCCAGGGTTCGCTCTGATTGTTTAGAAATACACAATCGCTTTGAGGTCCTCTCCCCTAGCATGGAAGACGAAGAGCAGACTCCATTTGAGGATCTCTCCTCATTACAGTCGATCAGGTATATGAAGACGAGCAGCAAAGTCAGTCCTCAGGGAATGTGCAGGCGACCTTGGAGCGGACAGCTCACGGAAGAACCCCGACCAAACCTAAGAGGAGGCGTGTAGTGGTGATAGGGGATTCCCTACTGAGGGGAACAGAAGCAGTGATCTGTGGGCCTGACAAGATGTCTCGGGAAGTGTGCTGTCTCCCCGGGGCTAAGATCCAAGATGTAACTGAGCGACTGCAAGGAATCATAAAACCCACTGACAAATACCCCTTCCTCTTGGTTCATGTGGGAACCAATGACACTGCAAGCAATAGCCTCCAGAAGATCAAAAGAGACTACGAGGCTCTGGGCAGGAAATTGAAGCAATTAAATGCACAAATTGTGATCTCATCTGTCCTCCCAGTTGAACGACGTGGTCCAGGGAGAGAGGGGAAAATAGTGGAAGTGAACAGCTGGCTTCGCAAATGGTGTAAACAGGAACGGTTTGGATTCTTAGATCACGGACTGCAGTTTCTTGAAGATGGACTTCTGGCAAGCGATGGGCTGCACCTCACAACGGTTGGGAGAAATGTTTTTGCCAAAATCTCAGAAACCTCATCAGGAGGGCTTTAAACTGACTAATGTGGGGAGGGAGACAGTGCTCCTGAAGGTAGGAGTCTATCAATTGATGAAGATGATCATCCAAATGTCATAGACCAAATGGAGCAAACAGCACACAGACCTAGTGGTGGGAGGAAAAATCCTTAAATAAGAGTCACGGGGAATGATTAATGGACTTCAATGTCTGTACACTAATGCGCAAAGCATGGGAAATAAACAAGATGAGCTTGAGCTCTTGGTACAGCAAACTAAATATGACATAATAGGCATCACTGAAACCTGGTGGGATAAGTCCCACGATTGGAATGTAATAATGGGGGGATACAATCTATTTCAGAGAAACAGACCAGACAAGAAAGGAGGAGGAGTGGCGTTATATGTCAGGGATGTGTATACCTGTGAAGAGATCCAAGATTTAGAACCTCAAAACCAAAGTGAGAGCATTTGGGTCAAAATTAAGGGAGAGAAGAATAACAGTGACCTCATTGTGGGAGTTTACTACAGATCCCCAAGCCAAACGGAGGACATAGATGATGCCTTCCTGGAACAGATGGCCAAGCATGCAAAAGGAAGGGAGATAGTAGTAATGGGGGACTTCAATTACCCGGATATTTGTTGGATGTCAAACTCAGCCAAGAGCATAAGGTCAAACAGATTCCTCACTGGCCTTGCAGACAACTTCATTGTCCAGAAAGTGGGAGAAGCAACAAGAGGAACAGCCATTTTAGATCTGGTCCTAACCAATGTTGATGACCTGGTTAGTGGGGTAGAAGTGGAAGGATCATTAGGCGCAAGTGATCATGCTCTTCTGAAGTTTACTATACAGCGGAAAGGAGCAGCCAAGCATACTAGGACTCAATTTCTTGACTTTAAGAAAGCTGACTTCATAAAACTTAGGGAAGTGCTGGGTGAGATCCCATGGACAGTAATACTAAAAGGAAAGGGAGTTCATGATGGCTGGGAGTTTGTTAAGAGGGAGATACTAAAAGCACAACGTCAGGCAATACCAATGAGACAGAAACATGGAAGGTGCCTAAAGAAGCCAGGGTGGCTATCTAAAGAACTTTTAACTGAGTTAAGATTAAAAAGGATGTGTACAAAAATGGAAAAGGGGGAAACCACCAAAGAGGAATTCAAACAAATAGCCAGCACGTGTAGACACAAAGTCAGAAAAGCAAAAGCACAGCATAACCTCAGGATTGCTAGAGAGGTTAAAAGCAACAAAAAGGCTTTTATGGGTATGTCCGTAGCAAAAGGAAGAACAAAGAAACAGTGGGGTCACTCAGAGGAGAAGATGGTGAAATGCAAACAGGGGACACAGAAAGGGCTGAACTCCTCAATGCCTTCTTTGCCTCAGTCTTCTCCGATAAAGAAAACAATGCCCGACCTGAAGAATTTGGAGCAAATGATTCAGCAAAGGAAACACAGCCCAGAATAACTAAGGACATAGTACAAGAATACTTGGCTAGTTTAGATGTATTCAAGTCTCAAGGGCCAGATGAACTGCATCCAAGAGTATTAAAAGAACTGGCAGATGTGATCTCAGAACCACTGGCAGTCATCTTTGAGAATTCCTGGAGAACAGGCGAAGTCCCGGCAGACTGGAGGAGGGCAAATGTTGTCCCTATTTTCAAAAAGGGGAAAAGAGAGGACCCAAATAATTACCGCCCAGTCAGTCTGACATCAATACCAGGGAAGATTCTGGAGCAGATCATTAAGCAAACAGTCTGTGAGCACCTAGAAAGGAATGCTGTGATCACCAACAGTCAGCATGGATTTCTGAAAAATAAGTCATGTCAGACTAACCTGATCTCGTTTTTGACAGAATTACAAGCCTGGTAGATGAAGGGAACGCAGTGGATGTAGCCTACCTTGATTTCAGCAAGGCATTTGACAAGGTGCCTCATGATATTCTTGTAAAGAAGCTGGTAAAATGCGGTCTTGACTATGCTACCACTCAGTGGATTTGTAACTGGCTGACTGACCGAACCCAAAGGGTGCTCATCAATGGTTCCTCTTCATCCTGGAGAAGAGTGACTAGTGGGGTGCCACAGGGTTCTGTCTTGGGCCCGGTCTTATTCAACATCTTTATCAACGACTTGGATGATGGACTCAAGGGCATCCTGATCAAATTTGCAGATGACACCAAATTGGGAGGGGTGGCTAACACCCCAGAGGACAGGATCACACTTCAAAACGACCTTGACAGATTAGAGAACTGGGCCAAAACAAACAAGATGAATTTTAACAGGGAGAAATGTAAAGTATTGCACTTGGGCAAAAAAAATGAGAGGCACAAATACAAGATGGGGGACACCTGGCTTGAGAGCAGTACATGTGAAAAGGATCTAGGAGTCTTGGTTGACCACAAACTTGACATGAGCCAACAGTGTGACGCGGCAGCTAAAAAGCCAATGCAATTCTGGGCTGCATCAATAGGAGTATAGCATCTAGATCAAGGGAAGTAATAGTGCCACTGTATTCTGCTCTGGTCAGACCTCACCTGGAGTACTGTGTCCAGTTCTGGGCACCACAGTTCAAGAAGGACATTGACAAACTGGAACGTGTCCAGAGGAGGGCAACCAAAATGGTCAAAGGCCTGGAAACGATGCCTTATGAGGAACGGCTAAGAGAGCTGGGCATGTTTAGCCTGGAGAAGAGGAGGTTAAGGGGTGATATGATAGCCATGTTCAAATATATAAAAGGATGTCACATAGAGGAGGGAGAAAGGTTGTTTTCTGCTGCTCCAGAGAAGCGGACACGGAGCAATGGATCCAAACTACAAGAAAGAAGATTCCACCTAAACATTAGGAAGAACTTCCTGACAGTAAGAGCTGTTTGACAGTGGAATTTGCTGCCAAGGAGTGTGGTGGAGTCTCCTTCTTTGGAGGTCTTTAAGCAGAGGCTTGACAACCATATGTCAGGAGTGCTCTGATGGTGTTTCCTGCTTGGCAGGGGGTTGGACTCGATGGCCCTTGTGGTCTCTTCCAACTCTATGATTCTATGATTCTATGATTCTATGATTCTATGATTCTATGATTCTTTGTCCCTTAATTTCCTTGCTATGATAAACAAAACTTTATTGGGAAGAGATCTGAGTAAGCAGTAGTGCAATGGTAAATTTTGAAATGCAGGGGCTCATTTCAAAGCCCCCAGATTCATACTCCCAAAGACACTACAGAGCCACATCCCCATGGAAAGTTGAAAAATGCAAGAAATAGCAAAGGGTTGTGTGGCAGCCTGCATGTTGGACTTTGGTTGAGGAGACCTGGATTCACAGCCATAATATTTACTGGATGACTTTATTTATCTACTACTACTACTACTACTACTACTACTACTACTACTACCTGGGGCCAGTGATTGTCTGAACCTAGATTATCTAACAAAGGGTTCATGTACCAGACCAGCCTGTCTTCCAGATGACCCCATTGCTTCTGTGAGAAGAAATCTTCTTCTTCTTTAGCGATCACTCATAGTCGAGTAAGATTGTCTTCCATAAACACGGTTTTAACAATGAGTCCGTAAGTGTCTGTGGAGGCCAATTCTGGATCCACACATCTTTCCACAGTGAAGACGTTGGTGGGAGTTGAACACGGTGTGGATTTGCCAAGCGTTCCTTCCTCCTAGCACGTTTCTCCCTTGTGTCCTGAGTTCGAGCGTCTTCAAAGCCCATGACACCTTTGGTAAAGGCTGTTCTCCAACTGGGGTGCTCGCAGGCCAGTGTTTCCCAGTTGTTGGTGTTTATACTATATTTTTAAAAATTTGCCTTGACACAGTCTTTAAACCTCTTTTGTTGACCACCAGCATTACGCTTTCCATTTTTAAGTTCAGAATAGAGTAGTTGCTTTGGAAGACGATCATCAGGCATCTGCACAACATGACCAGTCCAACAAAGTTGATGCTGAAGAATCATTGCTTCAACACTGGTGAGAAGAAATTCTGAAGGCACTTCTAAATTCTTGTGGGTTCCCCTGTGAGCATATGGTAGCTATATATTCTTCCTAGCATTCAATCTGACACTGTGTGTTATAGCAGACATGTACTACTCCTACTTCTCCAAACCTTTATTAGGCATGGATCATCATAAAACATCCATATATAAAATTTTAAAACACATGCAAATAAACAACCATGTAAAAATATGTACCGTATTTTTCGTCCCATAGGATGCTCCGCCCCATAGGACGCACCTAATTTTTTGGGTGGAAATAAAGGAAAAAATTTTTTCCTTTATTTCCCCCCCAAAACCAGGTCGGGGAACAGCGGGATGGCGGCGCTGTGCCTCCCCGCTGTCCCCGGAGCTTGTGGGGCTGGCCGATGTCTGCTTGGCGCGCTGGGCGCTCTACTTCAGGGCATCCCATGCGCTGGGCGACAGGCTGCTATCCGCAGCGTGGGGAGCCCTGCGGGAACTCCCGCAGGGCTCCCCACACTGCGGATGTCTGTCTGGCGCGGGGCGCTCTGCTTCAGGGCACCCCGTGCGCCGGGCGGGAGGCTACTATCCGCAGCGTGGGGAGCCCCGCGGGAACTCCCGCGGGCTCCCCAGGCTTGCTGATAGCTTCCTGAAGCCTGGAGAGCGAGAGGGGTCAGTGCGCACCGACCCCTCTCACTCTCCAAGCTTCAGCAAAAGCCTGTATTTGCCCCATAGGACGCACACAGGTTTCCCCTTCATTTTTGGAGGGGAAAAAGTGTGTCCTATAGGGCGAAAAATACGGTAATAACAAGGGGTTTCCTTGAAGTTTCTTCCCACTAAATAGTGCCATTCACCACTCTAAGAGATACTATTGATAAAAACACAGCCACCTTTGCAGTTACCTCCAGGTTAATGTCAGACAGATGGAATCTGATATTTTCATTCTGCCATGATGTAGCTGGTTGTACAGTGGACAGTAGAAAAGAATATGTTCTACTTTGTCCAGCATATTCAAAAAAAATCTGCAATGTCTGTTGTTTCTGGGGATGTTTAAATATCTGCCCTTGACAAAAGCTGAGGGAGAAACTTTCAGTCAGGCTAACATAAAGGCCCTGCGTTGGACTGGAATTATTAATTTTGAAATGTAAGTGACCCTGTTATCTGTTGGATTTAAACAATAAAACTTGAGGGAGGAAATTTTATTTACAGCTGACTCGATGTTTTGCTTTTCAATGTCCCTTAATCTGACATAGCAGACATGTTGGGTCTGAACCTAGATGTAAAATTTCCTTTAAATGCATGCAATGGAAACTTTTAAAACACTGTGTGGGGTGGGGGACTTATCAACATGCCAATTAATATTCCCAACAATGAAAAAGGTATTAAGACACATAGTAAAATACTTCCTTGCAGAAGAAAAATAAGGACCTTTTTGCAGATAAGCAGAACCTGAAAATTAAACAATCATGCACTCACAAATAGTTCTACAAGGTTTTTGAAAAAATAAAAAGATTACATTTTTTAAAAAAATGTAAACGCTTTATTCATAGCTTAATTCCTAAAGGTTGCTAGTGGTTGCATCCCCTACCCTACCCCACCCCGCCTCCCCAATACATTAAATTTTTTCAAGGACAATAAGGAGTTTTAAAACTGAGTGGAAAATATTCACACCTGCTCTGAGTGCGTCATGTGAAAAATAAACATTTTGGGGGGACACATCAAAAACACAAATCTGTGCCGCTGCCCTTTGCTGCTTCTGATGGATTTTCCTTTGTTTGAACACATATTAGGCAATATATACTAGGTGACTATTTTCTAATATTCAATATATTTCATTTTGTATATGCTTATGACTATTTCCTCATGTGCAAGTTTCCTACTTTCCATGTGTTCCTACATACAGATTGTAAGTGAACTAACAGATAATAAAATAAATCTCTACATGATTGGAATAAATACCCCTTTGGGTATCTGGTGTTAATAATACCTTATGCTAAATATTCCAAGAGAAACTATGTCCTGACTATAAAATATTAGTCTGTGTCAAATTAATGGCACATATGTCTAATGGTTTCAGCCCTTCTTTGTTTAGACTTCAATTACATTTGATTTATTTCAATCTGTTTTGCTTTTATTATTTTAAAGTTCCACAAAGTGGCTTAAACATGCTTTTGATATTCCAGAAACCATTTTTGGAATGTCCTTTTTATTTAAGGAAAATATTGGCTTGTAGCTCTTCAGCCTTTATGACAATGGCAACGTTACTTTATTAGATCTTAATTTAGCTCTTTTCATCTTTGTACATGTTGTACATCTATAGCTCTTTGACTGTCTGGAATATGCAATTTTCAGAATCCTGTAATTATTGCCATTCAGCATTATAAAATCACAAACAGCAGAAACACAAACAGTGTGGTCCACCAAGCACTTTAAGAAATATGGGACATTTATTATCATTACCCTGATCTAGCTAGAAACTCATGTATGTGTGGAAACAATCTAGGGTTCAAGGGTTCCATTGTGAGAATTCTATTGATGACAGCCTTACTTTCAGATAAAACACTATAGGTACCATAGATAGTGATGGGTGAGATTCCTTTGGCTCATTTTAGTCATTTATTTTTAATATTTATAACCTGATCACAACATGGCTTATGCAACAATCAATAAGGCAGCCAGTCAAAAAACCCACCAGTGTTTAAAACTAAAAATGTCACATTTTCCTGGCTGGCTTCAGTGTAGAGACATTGGCCACAGGTTTCCCAGAAAGGCACCATAACATGCTCTAAGGGGCTCCATCAATTGATATCATTTTACATGTTCTTGTGTTGAATTAGAATGCTGAAAACAGGTTCTGAGACCCAAATTAATCCATGTGGCTGAGTATGACAGAATAACCTCTAAAATAGGTTAAACTCCCTTAGACAGAAGCAAGTAGCTCTGATAACATGATAAAGCCGAATTCAACTTTCTCTGATGGTTAAATGCCAACTATTGTGGATGCTGACAGATTTACAAAACCAAAAGAGCCAGGTTTAGGGATTCAGTAGTATTAAATAATAAATAGCTGTTGCTGAGGAATGTCAGAAAAAAAATATTCAGTCAACCCAACAAGTCTGAATTTGTTTCAAGTGCAAATTTCAAATTGTGAGAAGTTGGGCATATCTTGGTTCCGGGTAAATCATTATATTAAATACCTTAGGAGTCACAGCAGAGATTGCAATAAGCCTCTGAGACAGCATGCAGGCTTTAGGAAAAGATGCATTGCTCGAGAACAAAGATTCCAGTTTGGCACATTGAGATTAAAGGATCAGCTGGCTAATATATTGCAATACTGAAGGAGGGGATTGAAAGCTGGAAGCGAGAAGAGTTCTATACTTGATGCAAAGGAAACACACAAGGGGTCTCTATTTATGATGCTCTGGCCTCATGAAATCTGCCCCATAAAGGCTTTCCCTAATATTATATAGACTTGTCACCATTCTCGGAGCTTTGGAATTACCTATCAGACCTGAGATTTTTAGTTTGATGGTTGTACTCTCCTAGCTAGCAAACCAGAACTTTCCCAAGAACTTTAATGGGCATTTTAGCTATCTCTGGATTTCACAGCAAGGTCTTCAAAACATTGCACCATTCCATGAGCAAGGTGCTGGTCATTTGTTAGGTGGTCAGATCTGTAAAAGAGATTGATACAGGGTGAGGCCAGATTTTCCAGTAGAATAGGAGGACTCGGGGCTTTTTTTTCCCAGCTGAAAACTCAGTTCCCGCACCTCTTGGGTGGGCAAAAGGGATGCATCCATGGTGAGCTCTGGGCAGTGCTTTTTTGTTAGGGGAAAATGTGCCAGTACTCACCATGAAGTTATTACAGTAAGCAACACACTTTTAACCTTGTTGGGGGGGGGGAGGCCAGTACAGTGGTACCTCGGTTTACAGACGTTTCAGGTTACAGACTCTGCTAACCCAGAAATACTACCTCAGGTTAAGAACTTTGCTTCAGGATGAGAATATAAATGGTGCTCTGGCAGCGCGGCAGCAGCAGGAGGCCCCATTAGCTAAAGTGATGCTTCAGGTTAAGAACAGTTTCAGGTTAAGAACGGACCTCCAGAACGAATTAAGTTCTTAACCCAAGGTACCACTGTACTTCATAGCCTTGAGTGTCTCTAGAAAAAGAGCACTGGTTCCGACACCTCTTTTTCTAAAAAAAAATAGCACTGGGAAGACTACAAACTTACAAGAAGTGGAGTGGTACCTGTTCAAGCAGTTGTTGAATACTGGACCCTTAGAGGTAAGGTGAAAGACGTTCTCCTAGCTAAGGTCACATCTTTGTTTAAACCTGCAGGATGGATGTAGCAAATGGTAAATTACACATGAAGGTGAAGTAAACTCTTACATTTGAATACCAAAGTCATTCAGAGTTTGACAAAGTTACGTCAACTTCCATCCCTACTTGCTAAACATCTAAGAAAATATACTCTTTTATTCTAGCAAAAATCTGGAATAAATTACAATCACTAAATCTTTCTTTAATGCCACCACACAGTTCATAAAATGAAGCTGTTGTGTTTGATACACAGTCTCTCCATTTTTCAATTTTGGGAACCACCAACAAAGAGTTTGGGAACAAATTTAGTGAAGATGAATCTGGCACAACTATCCTCGTGCCTGTTGTAGAATACATAGCATTGTGCCACTAATCTCTCTCCAAAGCACTAGATGTCAGAAGGAGACAACATATTTAATACTTCATCTTAGAGAATTAAGCTACTTCCCTCTCTGCGTGCATACAATATGGTTCTCTGGCCAACTGATAGTGTTTAAGTAAATCATTATTGTCACGGTTGTTTATATCATAAATGATCTCACAGCTTTGTGGTTACTCCACAGTTCCTTTCATTGGGGCCTCAATAGAGATCTATATCTGAAGACAACTTTTGGTGGTTTCTGCATCACATCTGGATGAAGTGTTAGTCTGTGAGCTAAAAACTTAGTTATTTACAACTTTACATAATTCTGACAGTGGTTTCGCCAGCTTGTCCAGCCGAGTGTCAGAACAAGGAAACCGGGTGCTTTCTTGTGGTTCCTGAGACTTTTGATGGATATGGCTGCTTGGCAAAGGAATGTGAGGATCTGGTTTAAAATTAAAAACTTGAAAGACATTTAAAGTTTCCTCTGATAAATTATGTATCAAGGATAAGGAGATAAATATATACTATGCAGTATATTCCAAGAAGGATAGCAGCTGAGCATTTGCCTCTGTTCAGTCTCTACCATTCAGATTGAGAGCGGTAGTCTTGTAATCTGGGGAACCGGGTTCGCATCTCCGGTCCTCCACATGCAGCTGCTGGGTGACCTTGGGCCAGTCACACTTCTTTGAAGTCTCTCAGCCCCACTCACCTCACAGAGTGTTTGTTGTGGGGGAGGAAGGGAAAGGAGAATGTTAGCTGCTTTGAGACTCCTTAAAGGGAGTGAAAGGCGGGATATCAAATCCAAAACTCTTATACTCATATCATTCATCCCTCACCATCTTCATGAACCATTTCATTCAGACATTCAACTGTGTAAAAAAAAAAAGTGGGTTATTGCATATCTGAATGAAGTGGGTGGGTGCAATACACACACACACCCCTGTCCCCAAATCACATCAATGTGTCTCATTTCATAAACACACATTCCCACAACTACTAAGGGAAATTATACAGAAACTCATCCCACCATTCATACAAAACGTTAATACAGTGGTAACTCGGGTTACAGATGCTTCCGGTTACAGACTCTGCTAACCCAGAAATAGTACCTTGGGTTAAGAACTTTGCTTCAGGATGAGAACAGAAATTGTGTGGTGGCAGCGGGAGGCCCCATTAGCTAAAGTGGTACCTCAGGTTAAGAACAGTTTCAGGTGAAGAACGGACCTCCAGAACGAATTAAGTTCTTAACCCAACGTACCACTGTAATCAGATTCCAGTCACATATACACAGCACCAACATCACAATGTAGCATTCAATGTATTCCCCACTCCTGAGCTTCTCCCATCCTCTAAAGGTTGGACATGCTTCAGAATGTTGAAACAGACTACTGACACATTCTGCTATTAAATCTTTCTAATTTACACTGCACCAATCCTGATCTGCATGGGGTTTCTTTTCAATGTAAAAGGTAGAAACTGCTCCTCAGCCCATAATTTTCCTCACACTGCCCAGCTCCCACCACCCCTGTTTGTGGGCATAAATCTGCCTTTTTCTGCTAGCTGCCTGGAACTTGTCTGGAAATGCCTGCCAAGGGGGAGGCCCCACAGGAAATGTAGTTAAGATGGAACTCTTTGTGTTGATGGGCTCAGCTACCACCACCACTGCTGCTGCCTCAGCTTCCCTTTCCTCAAGTTAAGTGGGGCTGCCTTGGGCAAGGGAAAAGGAGACAGCGGTGGCAGAATTGGCAGTGGGCATTCCACTGGGGGTGGAAATCTCCCTTCTCTAAGCTCAAGTAGCTCTCCATTCTAACAATCCATAATGGAAAACCCAAATGTTGCCACAAAAGCTGCAGTCCAGTGTCCTTGAACACAATGTGGCTTGCTTAAATATGGATAGGATGGGGCTGCAAAAGATGGACAAATATTCCCCCATTATCAGTAAGAAACATTTAACTGCAGTCCTTGCTCATAAAATGTAAGGAATGGAACTACATTGGGAAAAACTGGTAGTTGCTGAATCAAGAATTTTCCTTATACCCAATTCTATGAAATCTTATACTCTAGTAACACACAATGATTACTAAACCTTCTTTATATGACCATTTAACCTGAGTTTTTTGGGGAGATTTGTCACCAAAGTGACATGGAGCATTTGGAACATAAGAATTAATCTAGTCTTCTTGGCACATGCTGTTCTGCAGGCATCTAGATTACTAAATTATGTCCTTGGCATTACTGTATATTCCTTACACTGTACAGTGGTACCTCTGGTTACGTACTTAATTCGTTCCGGAGGTCCGTTCTTAACCTGAAATTGTTCTTAACCTGAAGCACCACTTTAGCTAATGGGGCCTCCCGCTGCTGCTGTGCCGCCAGAGCATGATTTCTGTTCTCATCCTGAGGCAAAGTTCTTAACCTGAAGCACTATTTCTGGGTTAACGGAGTCTGTAACCTGAAGCGTATGTAACCTGAAGTGTGTGTAACCCGAGGTACCACTGTACTTTCTTACAATAAAAAAGTGTAAGCAAGCAACAAAGCTAAAACAGAAGTACAAGTGGAAGGTGAAAATACTTAAGTGAAGTGGAGATATATTGGACAACAATCAGAATGAGGACTTCATAAATGTCCCATAAAGGGAACAAATTTATAGATAGATATGATTTGGCTATAAATTTTGCAAACAAGATCACTCAATGGAAAGAGTACACATTGTTGCATTAAATTGCAAATGGAAACAGTGGGGTTTTTTTATAAAAAGAAATGCTTAAAGGGTTTCAGGACTGCCTCCATTCCTCCATTCTTGCTTGCACAGTACCCCAAAACACACATTTTGCTGTGTTTGTGAGATTGCGGCCCTGAAAAAAGCATTTTGGGGAGGCGAGGTCGTGGTCTGACATCATGCAAGCTCACAGCACCCAAGATGGTTGCTGTGCTATCATGTGAAAAAACAGGGTGTCCCTTTTTCCTGGGAAACTTGTGGGGTATGCAGTCCATGCACTGGAAAATTCCTAATAAGCCCCAAGTGGCAACTGGCCAAGCTATTCAAAGGGTGAAGTGCCACAACTAAGAAACAGTAAGAACTCAGGGAGAGGCCATCTTTTATAGGTAACCCTTCCCTGAGGCCTAATAAAGGCCATATGGAAAAGTTCTCCCCTCTCTCCCTTTGGGAGGAAGTATTGAGAGTCTTCCTCCTTCATTGGGGTGGAACAAACACGCCCGCAGGCAAAAGGTTGGGAGTAATCAAGTCATAGCGCTGGAAGGCTGCAAATAGTTGCAGTTCTGTGAGTTACGCTGACTTTAATGGGACATTCGCTGCATATGTAAATATATGCAGTACGGAGACCTTACACTCTTATACGCTGCAGCACAAAAAGAAGCTTTGGGGTGGAGTGATCATGTAGCAAATGCAAAATCGGAACAATTCCACCCATAAGCAAATGCAAATGAGCTCTCTCCTTGCATTACATTAGACAAAGTTAAAAGTACAAGCCAGACTTATGATTCTCTCTTTTGCTTTCATTCTCCTGCGGTACTAGCAAATTGCACTCTAAAAGTTTTGGGAAAAGTCTGTAGGCAAGAACATTTGGTTAGAATGTGCTTTTTAGACTCTAAGCACAATGTGTTCTTTACAAGGTCAAACTGACATGAACATAGCAGTCGGAGTGAGTTATAGAAAAACCTATTGTGCAGATTCCTTCCAGCAGCTTGCCAAATTTGACATTATGGAGCTCAGAAACAAAAATCCAATCCTTATTAGCTGTAATTAAAATATTTTATTTATGTCAGTTAGGTACATAATGCCCCTTGAAGATGTTATCTTGGGCTCAAGAGAGGTTGAGCTGTCTTTATGGTAAAAACATCTAAAATAGTTTTAAATTCACTCGTTCCCACTGAAAATCTGCTGTGTTCTATTTTGAAAACTCTGAAACTCCTTATAAAGCAAGAAGTGATTTTTTTCCTTCCTCTTATTTTCAGCGTGAGTTATCTAATTCTATCATGCAGGCAGTCTGACCCACAACCAAGTCAACTTAGAGTTCTTGGGTTTATTCTCAATAGTTTTACTGTTTTTGAGAACCTGGCTGCAGAATGCTGCAGCGAGGCTCCTCACGGGGTCTCTGCCATGGGAGCATATTCACCCAGTGCTTTTCAAACTGCACTGGCTCCCGGTAGAGTACAGGGTCAGATTTAAGGTGCTGCTTTTGACCTTTAAAGCCCTTCACGGCCTAGGACCCTCGTACCTACGGGACCGCCTCTCCCGGTATGCCCCACGGAGAACCTCAAGGTCCATAAACAGCAACACCCTAGTGGTCCCAGGCCCTAAGGAAGTTAGATTGGCTTCAACCAGAGACAAGGCCTTTTCAACTCTGGCTCCAGCCTGGTGGAACGCTCTGCCTCATGAGACCAGGGCCCTGCAGGATCTGATTTCTTTCCGCAGGGCCTGTAAGACAGAGTTGTTCCGCCTGGCCTTTGGCTTCGAGGCAATTTGATTCCCTCCCTCTCTTTCTTTTTTCCTTTCCTTTCTCCTGCGATGAGGCTACATTTTAATATTTTAATGTTTCAATATTTTAATGTATTTTAATTTTGTTTTTAAGTTGTAATAATTCAACTTGTTTTTATTATTACTTGTAAGCCGCTCTGAGCCCGGCCTTGGCTGGGGAGGGCGGGGTATAAATAAAAAATTATTATTATTATTATTATTATTAATAATAATAATAATAATAATGTTCTTATGCTGAATAACAGGGCATGATCCATTCACTCTTGCATCCATATGTGCATGTTGAGGGAGCAGATCCAAATATGGACCTTCCGTTTTCGTCTTTTAGTCCCACAAATAGATAATGCACTGTGGCAGGAGCCTGAAATCTGGCCACTATGGAGAACATGGATCTGTGCTTTGCCCCCATTCAATGCTCACAATGGTCCATTAAGAACTGGATCAGACCAAAGGCCCCATCTAGTCCAGCATCCTGTTCTCGCAGTGGCCAACCAGCTGTCCATGTGAAGCCCACAAGCAAAATGCAAGTTCAACAGCACTCTTGTGAGCCCTAGCAATTGATCCTCAGAGGCTTACTGACCCCAACTTTGGAGGTAGAACGTGGTCATTATGGCTAGCAGCCACTGCCAGCCTTGTCCTTCATGAAATGCCTTTTGAAGCCTTCAAGATGGTGGCCATCACTACAATGTGTGATAGCATATTCCATTGTTCAGCTAAGCCCTGTGTGAAACAGACGCTGAAGTGTGTCTCCTCAAGGAGGTAGTTCCTTCTTGATTGGGCTCCACCTCTCCTTTGGATTCTCCCTTTAACCCAGGGGTAGGGAACCTGTGGCCCGCCAGATGCTGCGGGACAACAGCCCTCCATCACCCTTGACCATTGTCTCAGAAAAATTACCCCATCATCTTAAAGGGTCAGTTAAGCAATGGATTTTGCTGCTGGTGGTAGGGCTTTTGTGATGCAAAGAGCAAACAACATATGAAGCCACTTATCCCAGTGAGGTATGTCTTTATTTGGCAAGCTTTACATTTAGCTATGACAGGCACTTAAGGCCTCAAGGGTGTTGCTCTGCTTTTGGACATTTTTTTTTGCTGTGAACTTGTTACCTGATCAATCTGTACCTTTGTAAACAACCACTACAGAAACATAATAAGTTACCCTTTTTCTCTATAGTTGAAATGAAATCATTATCTTTAAGAAACATAGACTGTTCCTATTATAACATGTTTCGATATTTTTTTAAAAAAACAAGTGCAAAATAAATATTAACAACATTTTTCACTACGTAATTTTGTCAATAGACTATTTTAATTTATCAAATGAAACAAAAAAAAGATATCTTTTCTGTTTGTTTGTTTGTTTGTTTGTTTGTTTGTTTTCAATCATTTTTTCCAGCTTTTTTTTGTTTTAGAAAAAGATTACTGCTATATGGATTAAGATTTTTTTTTAAGGCAACCACTTGGGTGAACACTTGATAGATTTAAATCACTTATAAGCAAAACCTTAAGTGAAGTTGAATCGCCTTGTGGCAGAGACTTCACTTCATATGAGTTCCCCCTTGTTTTGTTTGTACATTGGCTTGAATGGAGCAAACGTCTAAAGAGTACTGTGGGGAAATGCTTAGGAGGATAGATATAAATCATGCCTGCATGCACACGTTAGAGTTCAAATGAATACGCTCACTCTAAAGTTGTGGAAATTGAGCTGACGGCAGAATTTTCAAGAAAGAAAACATGTGCTAAAGCGACTTGGGAATCGGATTTCTGCTTGAAGCCCTTGAAGCAACCAAGCCCTCTGGTACCTACTCACTCGATGTGTCTTTCCCCCAAGGAAATTAACTTTCTCTGACTTGCACAGAGCACACCATCTGACAATGAATACCTTATGAGCAAACTACTTAAGGGTTCACTTGCGATTGCCTTGAGAACAAAGCAATGCAGGTGATTCTAGAAGGAGCTGGAACTGTTTTCTTGGGCTACCAAATGCCTGGAAGAGAAACAGATTGGGAAATTTTTAAAAAAAATTTAAAAAAGGATTTGATCATATAAAAGAGTGACAATTCAAAAGGACAATTCATGGTAATTCATTTCATATTTCTGTATACACTGCCCGGACTTGAGCCCCAGAGAGGTCATTTCAGTGCAGCTAACACAGCAAAAACAACATGGGAGGCAGCAGTTAGGAGTTGCCAGTCTCCTCAGCCACAGTGGATGCTGTGGTTCTCTAGCAATTTGACTCCATCCCCAGAGGCACACTCCGTTGTCTTTTGAGACGGATGGGTGCCAACATTTCTGTACACAGCTTGGGTATTCTCTGAATGTAAAGTGGTGTCTGAGTCCTTAAATGAATCAACTTCCCAACCCAGATAACATTCAGAGAGGCACATCTGAACTCTTCTTAAACCTTCATATATTTATGGCCTCCAAGAATGTGGTCAAGAGGGGGAGACAGCTAGAGAGCAGAAATTTAATTTAATTAACATGGCCATTAATACTTTGACTTGTAGATCTTTGACTGTATTACCAAGTTCATTTTTTATTAAAATAAAAAGCAAGACAAAGCACATACCATTGTTGGTTCTGGTGATGACAGAAGGAGACCTTGCGGCTGATGATTTTCTTCAGCTGCAGATGTTTGCCTTTTCATTTGATGGGGTTTTTTTTTCCTAGGTTGAAGAGATTAATCCCAGTGCTACTCATGCCAGAGAGTCACACTATGCTTAATTGCATTGCCAAAAGGTCTTTAGCATATACTGCTACAACCGTTGTTTTGTGGTTATGACATTCTTGACAAATGTTTCCATAAAGCCCAAATCCAAGATCGTATTCTGAAGTCACAGAAGGTTGGTTGAGGAGCAATAGTAAGGAAAAAAATGTTAAGAAATGTGATGTTTCCATTGTAGCTTTAATTATGGAGGTGATGATAAGGACAGATTGAGTGAATGGCACCTGAGGCAGGTTACAATTTTAGAACACCCAAACTTCCTTGATGCCTCCCCGTGTACACATCCCCCTCTGATCAATTATTATTCATTCATAAAATGTTTTCACTTTATCTTTGTGGGTTGCAATCATGCTGCATAGTCCTATACCTATCGAATCTCAACTTTATCATTCCTTTTAGTTCAAGATTACAAAGTTTGGTATCTACTGCAGCTGGGGGGAAATCCTTTACAATATCTAGACATTTCTTCATTACCTATTTCACTTCAAGCATCATGAAAATATGTTTAAAATCAGAGATCTACACATTTTGGCCACATTTTGGTCTTGGTAACCATATCAACTGTGTAGCTATCAGGACCCTACCCAACCCCTTCCTCCCATGCCCCTTTCTCAGCTTGTCTCATAATTAGCATAATTTTCGTTATCTTCCTTTCAAAAAGGTTATAGTTCAGTGGTAGAGCCTATGCTTGGAATGCAGAAGGTCCCAAATTCAACCCCTGACATTTCCAGGTATGACAGTGTGACTGGGAGATACATTTCTACTTTTTAATGCAGTTTTTTGGTCTGGCTGAGTATTTCTCATGACTTTATCATTTGGCCGACTGAGGCTGCACCTAAGGCAGTTGATTTTCAGTGACACGGAAAAGGCAACAAATTGTTAGTTATTTACTCCCAGTCTGACTGCCTCAAGAGCAAAAATATTTTGACTGCCCTAGGGTAATGCGCGCCTTGACTGAGGTATGGAAGAAACTGGCTGCTCCACCTCAAGCAAAAATATGTCTTGAGCCAGCCCTGATCTTTGGTCATTGGACATTTGATGTAAACCACAGGATATGGACCTGCTTGTGAGCTTCCAGAAGCATTTGGCTAAAGACATAAATGCTGGTCTGTTTGTGCTATTGGCAAGGCAACTGCATGTTCTCAACAGTACAACATCTGACTCCGGTGTCTTTTCAACAGTCCCTCCAAGATATTGTGACATTGTACATGTTTGATCAATGTGGTCCTTATTTGTTGTCCTGATGAATCATACTCTCAGGCTGCCAAAGTGTTCTGAAGGTATTGGAATATGGGCATTAGCTCCTCATAATAAATGATGAGGCAAGCCTTAAGAAAAGGTTAGAAACCTACGTGAAACACAAGAGCCGTATCACCAAACCTATTTCAAACGAATGATCCACGATGTGCTAATATTTTTGAGAGCTGGAAATAACAATGATATTAAGCCATGTTAGTGGAGCCAGATATGTCTTCATAGCACGTTGCCAAACATCCCCCTGCCCCCCCCAGAAGAAAATGTGCCCTGAAAGTATAAGGATGCTAAATTCTACTCCTCTATATTCAAATGGCAAAGGGAAATGAGCTGTTCATAATCTCGTATTTTTAATACTTGGACAGCCTTTAAGTTTAGGATACCTGTTATGTCTCCTCGGGGCTAGACCAGGCCAACTGTTCAGCTGTAGCCAACTCTGCAATAATAGGCAAGTAAATATATTAATTGACTTTCTATCCCTGTCCCTCTGTGGTGGTAACTCTGGCTATTTCCATCTTCATTTTACCTGCCAGCATGATCACAGATGGTCCTAAAGCGAAAGGGATGTTATTGCCCAGTTTTAGATGCCTGGAATGTGACCAACGGCAGCAAAGAGCCAATTTCAAAGCTTGTTTTCACGATCAGAGAGCTGGTTTCTTTACTGTGCTGCCGGTTGTTAGCACATTGCTGTTTCTATGTTGGTGATAATGCAGCACAGCAATGAACTAGCCCCATCCATGTGTAAGCACAATGTATTTCCAACAGTCCAGGTGTATTTTTAAAGAGTCTAACGTAGCAAGTGGCTAATATGTCTACTCAACAAAAAGACACGTTGATTTCAGTGAGGCCTATTTCCAGGTAAACAGACTTATAAGGCTGTAAACTAGCACCCCACTTACCTGGCAGTAAGTCTTGCTGAATTCAATAGGATTTACTTCCGAGTAGAACATGGTTTGGTTTCACCTGCCTGTATTGCAGCTGAAGTTTAGTGTGGTGTTGATTGACTGCAAGAAATTCTGCCAGGAATCATGACATGAGAGCAGCCAGCTCAACTTACTTCCAAATCCTTGCATTTCATGTTATTATGAGCACATATTTATAAGATTTCTTACCCGCCCTCCAGCACGAAGTCCCAGGGTAGGTTGCAACACTAGAATACACACTTATAAAAACTGCTGAAACCATCACAATTATAAAACATGCAAAACCATTCCACATGGAACAGAACAATATATATTCAGCGAAAGAGGTGGGTGTAGTGCCAGTGTGGTGTAGTGGTTAAGAGCGGTAGTCTCCTAATCTGGGGAACCGGGTTCGCGTCTCCGCTCCTCCACATGCAGCTGCTGGGTGACCTTGGGCCAGTCACACTTCTCTGAAGTCTCTCAGCCCCACTCACCTCACAGAGTGTTTGTTGTGGGGGAGGAAGGGAAAGGAGAATGTTAGCCGCTTTGAGACTCCTTAAAGGGAGTGAAAGGCGGGATATCAAATCCAAACTCTTCTTCTTCTTCTTCTTCTTTGAAACAAAATACCTTACCTGTCAAGGTAAAGAGCTGCCACTTCAGTGTATGGCAAAACCTGTACAATGTAGATGCTTGACATATTTCTATGGGCAGGAAGTACCTCAGTTTAGGGGCTGCTGTTGTGAATAGTTGTGTGTGTCAATCTGCAGTTATTATATGGTTTATTAATGTCAATCATGGCATATGTAAAAGGTTGGCATGACCTTAATATGGCAAGAGATACCCCATGATGAACTGTGGTGACCTTGGTACAAGTCTGATTCCAGCATCATCTCCTGGAAGGCATTCAGGAAATATTCAAATTCCTCACACCTTGTAAATGAAGTTGCCAAGTAAAGTCTACTCAACACCTGATAAGATAATGATGGCATAATTTAAGGCAGGGAGCAAGCAAAGGATGACCAGTTTAGACTGTCACCCACTAGGATGATATTCTTTCAAACACCT